GCTGAGGGTTTAGGGTTTACAGTTTAGTGCTTGTGGTTGAGGGTAATGTGAGTTTAGGGCTTGGGGCTTAGGGTTCAGGGATTGGGGTTGAGGATCACGAGGTTTGGCGGAAGTTGAGGGTTGCGGGGTGTAGGGTTCGTGTTGAGCGTAGGGATATGCAGACGCAGCCGGGCAATCACGTCTTGCGGGTCAGTTAGTTTGCCAACCTGATATGACGCTCGAACTATCATTTAGTTCTTTTTGGATCATCATCATAGAACTTGTGATAGGCACTGCTGCAATGGACGGACGGGCAACTCACGCAGTGCTTTGCTTCAGATTACCCAGCGGACCAAATCCTGACCTTAACATTCTTGACCCGGGACCCGAACCATGAAGCCCAAAGTCCTCAAACCAAGAAGCGTAATCCCTAAGCCAATAGCCAGCCAAATCCACTCGAACTGCTCAGCCTCCAGCGTGTTATGTCCAGGCACATGGCGGTAGGAAAGGCAACACACTTGTATGAGCAGGACAGAGATGTTGCATGTTGCCCTTGCCTGGCTTCATCATGTCATTGCTTCTCTTGGTTTCAAAGCACCGCCGGCTGTCTCACTGCACGAGCATGGCATGGATGACTGGTGTCGAACAAGACGGGAGGATGACGAGCTAATTCACTCAATCAAGAAGGGTATGCATGCCCTTTCACCTTGCTTCTGGCCAGTACGGAATGGCGAATGGCAAACTACACTAGGCCTCATTCCCGCCTGACCGCCCCTATCCCTTCACCCTCAATCCGACCATTGTAGCCATTACAACTTTCTTTTCCATTCCTGGTATGTCGTGGAACAGGAGCTTTGCAGCAAGGGACTGCTATCTTTGCAGCCACAGAATCCTCAACCCCCTAAGCCTTCCAAAGCACCCAGACAGAAGCTCTACACCTTACGCCCGAAACTGCAAGCACCTAACCCTGAACCCAATAATTTCATGTCGACTAACCCTCCCACCCCACCCTAGGCCTGGGCAGCTGGTACGTCGCTCCTGCCTGCCATGCGGCCCAGCGTGTACATCCCCCTTGAGGCCCTGGGGCCTTGGAGCTAGCAAAGGTCATTTCCCAGTTGACACCACGCCTATCCCTGACACCCGCCCGCACGCTTTTGCCTCAATTCTCAACAAGCCTACAAATTCGACCGTTCCTAATACAATTAAATCCTAGTCACTGATTGTATCCCGATCCTTATTTAGTCAAACCTCAACAGTCCCCAATTGAGTGGTCACATTATGTAGTGTGTGCAGTTTCGATTCACGCAGGGCACGCTCAAAACATGTTGAGGTACCGGACGAACCACCCCTCAGCAGAAACTAAAAGGGTGTGTACGACGACATGTTTAGAAGGGCATGTGGGGATATGTGCGGCAGCCATGGCGCTGGCCTTCATAGATATCCCCAGAACAAAGATACGGTGCTAATGTTTTACCACTTGCTACAAGAGAGCTTAAATCTTTTGCATATTCTTCACATGAAATGTCCGACAGAGAAGAGGCAAGAAATGGTTTTATCAGCCTCTCTACAGTGGATTTAATATCATTAGAAGCAGAGTTCCAGTTTTTGAACAGTGAGAATACATCGCCTTTATTATTTCTCAACCAATTCAAAAGCTCTATATCATCTTTATGGTCATATGCTTCCCGCAAGTAGTTATCGAATTCCTGAAAGCTTTGATTTAAACACCAAAGTGCGCGAGCCAGCAGCAAAACGCATCAGGACACAAGAGGCCAGCTATTAATATGGATGAACCCAAACAGCATGGATGGAAAACGTTCAAATGAAAGGTGTAATTGCCGTTCAGTACTTATGCGATTTGAACGCGAAGACAACAAAGGAGCAACCATTCAATAAATACAGAACATATCTACATACCCGTATAGACATTTTGGCAGCTGTTTTTTCCTTTTCCTGGTTTTGATTCGGCAGGCTTGGACGTTTTGGAACGTTAGATTGTAGTTTGAGGGCCGACGGCAAAGAATATCCACACGGCAAGGCGCTACTGCAGCTCAAGGTGTTTTGAGTCTCGTAGCTTTGGGGTGTGGTGCTTAAGGATCCAGGTTTAAGGTTCTGGGGCCAGACTCGAAGGATTTTGGCAGGTTGAAGGACAAGGATGGAAGCATGCTGAGCCCGGCCTTGAGCTGGCAAGTTTAGCTAAACCCATTCAGCCTCCAATCGCCCGCGTTTGTTTTGGTTTTCCCCAAGCGTTTCCGGTTTGGGGAACAAAAGCCCAGTATGCAGATTTTGGTCACGAGCAGCTTTCGGACAAGAATCTTTGCAGGAATTGGTATCAGTTACGATTCAAAACAGAACGCATAAGCACGGGCCCACCGCGGGCCCACAGGTCCGTGCCGCTTGCCACCCATCCAGCCACCGCGTTCTTCTTTTTTTCTGCGGGCCCGCTGTGGGCCCGCAGGTCCCCGCTGCGTGCAGCCCATCCAGCCGCCACGTTCCCTTTTCTTCCGCGGACCACTGCGGGCCCACAGGTCCGGGCCGTGTGCCACGCATCCAGCCGCCGCGTTCTTTTTTTCTTCTGCGGGCCTACTGCCGGCCCACTGGTCTGCGCCGAGTGCAGCCCATGCAGCCTTCGCGCGCTTTTTTTGAGGAATGTTTGGGGAACATTGGATGTTTTCTAAATGACTTTTGTGCGGTGACCAGGTTCGCTTGCGCTAACATATCCAGCTTCAAAAACCGAGCACTCTTGCAGATAACTCTCCAGCTTGCGCATTGCGAATGCGAAAGAAATACAGTGCGTCTCCTGGATAAGAAATGGGCCTGCCAGGCGTAGGTACCCTTCACTTCTTAGCTAGGCAGTGTTATCACATTTCCATCCTTTCAGGCCTCCAGATGTAGGGTAACCTTCGTTTCTTTGGCTCATTTCTTATTCTGGGGTTGGAGCCCCTTAAGTTTGAGAAGTTTAGTGTTGAGAGAAGCGCCTTATCCATTAGGCCAAAGAGCTTCCAATCCCGAATACGGAATGTGGCCACAAGCCTAAAATGAGAAATGCAGCCCCTGCAAAATCCTCAAGGTTCTTACATTTCTTATTTTGATGGTAGTGGGCTGGTACAGCACCCTAGTACGAACCGTAGCCCTACGCTTCCAAAATCCTGAGTCTGAGTGGTGGGCTTCGGGGTAGGGTGTAGGGGTAGGTGAGCCCCCCCAAAATGACAAACGTAGTCTCCTACATTTCTTTTACGGGGTTTCAAGGTTTGGAAAACCGCCGAAATAACAAACGCCCCCAGCTGTTGAGATGTGGGGCTTTGGACTTGGGATTTGTTTGAGGTTATTTCCTAGCTCTTGGAACGCCACATTGGTTTTGAGGTCCATGCAGGGCTTTGGGGAGTAAAGGGATTTGTGCTTAATAGTTTTGGGGTTTCAGGAGGAAACAAGGGGCCAAGGGGTATTGCAGAAAGTGGTTTCCGAGATATTTGACGGTTTTCGTAGTTGGGCAACAGTCATACGTTTTTGTTCAAGATATTTTTTGCGAAATCCCGAAACATTTTCCTGGCAAACCATGTTATACAACATTCTAAACTCAAAAAGTCAAGCCTGATGCACCCGCCAAGCCCGAGGCAAGGCCAAGCCGAAGCAATGTCGAGGGAACATCTTCTTGCCTCGCCTGATTATGCTGACGGATAACATCTAGTGTTTCGCAATATATCTACCTAGCATTACTTGAAACTGTCTATGAAGCTCTTGCCAGCTTGGGGCCCCAAGGTCCTCTTGCCTTGCACGTAAGCACCCAATCATCAATCCCCTGAACTTGTATGTAATCCTTCATTTTTTATGATCTCTGCAGAAGGATCCTACCGTCTAGACTTTAAAAGCCATCACGACCCACGCCTTAATGTAGATTATGACGTTTGATATCCTTCTTGTAGCGCCTCTCATTTCGGCGATTAGACGCCAAAACTCTTCTACCAGGGTCACGGGTAGGTATAGATGGGTTATAGACTCCTTACGAAGCTTTCTACATTCGGTCAGAACCAAAAGTATCCTACTTGCAACGCCAATTTTGACCAATCATGAAACTCTACGTAGAGCTTCAACCCTAAGTGAACTGTATACTTTATGTGCAGTTACAGGCATTCCCCAAGAACGCCGCCGGAAAGATCGATCGAGCATCCCTGCCGGATGCAGCCAAGGCTTTCGAGGAGCCAAGAGTTGAAATACTTGCCTCCCCGACTAACATGGAAACACCAAACAGTGTTTCTACAAGGGGGTCTATGGGCATGTAAAGGGTTTAGGGCTTAGTTGTCAGGGGTTTCCTTCCCCGAATTCTCATAAAGCCCCCGCAAAGGATCGGGAAAAGGCCCCATGACAGCCATCCTGGTGAAAGGGGGGGTTTCCGCTAGATTAGCGCGATGTAGGAGCTCAAAAAGTCCGGATATTGCAGAATCAAGTGAGAAACCGAACGGAAACAGGGATGGAGTGTATGTAGGAACTTGAACATTGGGATTGGGGGCAGTGCAACAAGAAGTTGCACACTCCTTAGCTGTAAGCTCCTTCGAGTTGGCTCTGGTGTTTCGTCACATGATTTGTTTTATGTACAAGGGTGCCTAAGTAGCGCGGCTCAAGCCATACTCCGGAAAACCCTCAACTACCTGGTGCGTGGTCGGGAATGGCAAAGAAACTCTGACCGATTGCCCACTGTTGACTGATCACCAGGAAGTCAACCCTCAAGCCTAGATCCTCAAACCCAAGACCTCAAGCCTCAAACCCAAGACGGAACCAAGCCCACTATGCTCGCGACATGCAATGACCACATGCTAGGAGATTTCTGCGACAGCCGCTGCAGAGTACGAGCCACCAGCTACAGAAGAGGAGAGGCCCTGAATCATTTTCATTGTCACCGCTCGCACCATCAGCGACGATGATGAAGTGGCAGCCATGACCAGAACCACTGCCACCACCGCCATTGCTGTTCCCACCGCCACCGCCGCCGGTCACCCGTACCGCCAGCGGCACCAGTCACCTCCCCACCACACATAAATCTGTCACTGCCCTGCTAACATGATTTTTTGCCGCAACGTGATGTCGACAAAGCTGTTTGCTTTCCGTTTCCTTGCCCGGGAATTACTTCATGTCATCTTTGTGGTTCTGAATATGTAGCGCTATCACTTTGAAGTGTTTCCCCGCGAAAGTCCCCCCCCGCTAGTCAGGGCCCAACATGAATCCACGGGCATACCTCGAGCTACATGGAGCGGGTTTGTTCTTTCTTGGAGTGTGTAGTGTAGTTTTTATTTCATGTTTGCGATGACAGTTGCTGTTAGCATTATGACTAATGACAGTACCTTTTTCTGGCTTCGCTTCTTGGTATGCCGGCCTATTCACTTTTTTGATCCGCCCAGAGTGAGAATGGCTGGCACTTAGAGATACTAAGACTGGTGGAACCGTCCAGGCAAGAGGCTGTTTGAGTGTTTAATGCTCGGCAACAACAACGCTCCAAACATTTTTATCTTGAGGCTCGAGGCTCAAAACACCTTGCTGTCAAACAATGCTGCGGGGTGAGGAGGTGGCCAAGCATTTGTTGGATTGGATACACAAAGCTTGGAGTTTTAGCGTGGTTCGGCTGCAACAGTATGCTTCTACGGACGTCGCCCATTTAGGAGCAGAAGATGGTGGAGATCTGGGAGAAAGTGCTGAAGGTGCAGGTGCGGCCGCTCTGGTTCAGGATTTAGACTCGGCTGGGCCTTTGTTTTGGGTGCAACATTCTCAGTACTACCATGAACCTGTGAGGTTTGACATTTAGTGTGGTACGGTGCAAGATGTGGCATTGGATGTCGAGGTTTAAGTTAGCTGTGTCAAGACACTGTTTGAGTGTACCGAGATGGGAACTCCCAGGGGGCCCCTCAACATGGAAAATCATGGGCAAACCGCTTGGTTCTCTCAGACCTAATTAATCCTCTTCGAAGCTGAGGCCTTCCTAGTCCTCTTTGGGACGCCTGGCATAGTGCCCTATGCCCTATACAAGAGGGGCACTCAACTGAGCCGAAATCTTGAGGATAGCTGCATGCTTCGTAGTTTGCACTGAAGGGGCGGCACAGCTGGGGCGACGATTGCAACTTTTGAATCCAATCAGAAGCCGCAAGAATTAGGAACATTATCCTTGCATGATCCGTATGTAGCCATAGAATACCCGACCCCAAAGCCCTGTTGTGATCATTTCGGCCGCTACAGCAGGCCAACACTCAAACATAAGATTTGCGTAGGCTCTGCGAGGGCCTTTGTAAAGGCTTGCTTCTTGAAGCACATCTCAATACCTCAAGGAAGCCACAGACGTGTACCCAACTGCTTAAAGAACATGTGCCCAAACTTCACACAAGCGTCCAAGGTGGTCCCACCAAACTGTTTTTGATCAGCTTGCTGGCCAACCGGGGGGCGTTCTCCTTTTGGTTCACACTTCTACTCTGTCTGCATACTTAACTCACTGAAGCATACCTTTTCCTACTGGTGCTTGAGAGCCAGTGAGGGAGTGAATGCAAGGAAGCTTTTGGGTAGGGGTTTCGAAAGGGATTATTTGGGGCTTGCTGTGTAGGGAAAGAGGAGTAATCTAGGATTTAGGGTTTAGGGACTGAGGAAGTGCAGACCAAGGCAGCTGTTCCAGAACCATGCGCCATGAAACCCTGTAGACCTCGATAGTATCATCGTAACGGTTATACTGATTCACTACAAATTGCTGTTGGCAATTAGTCAAGAATGGAGGAAAGGATCCTTTTCCCCCACATATCGTAGAAAAGTCCGTGTATCCTTTTCCCTGGGTCCCTACTGACCTGCCCCTCAGCAATAAACATTAAACCGTAAATGAAGCGATTGTTTTCCATCTCTTTGCTCCCTACTAGACATCATCAAGATTGACAACAACCACTTCTAGTATTTTTCGAAGCAGAGACCATGGACTCAACTAAAGCTACGCCAGCCGCTGCTGCCACCACCGCCACCATCATTGGGGTTTAAGGTTTGCCAACATTTTCATTGCCACCACTACCTTTGCAACCACCTCATCAGAATGGGGGTACCCTTACAGAACTATACAGTCTACCCCCAAACTCTAATCTACGTGCTTAGGCTCCTCCATTAACATCTTCAGGTGGGTGTTCTCACCCCCTTCGTAGCCTATGGCGGCCACTCTCTCACGGCAGTGCAGCGCTTTGCCTAAAACAAGGAAGGCTAGTAGTTTTGCGGGTTTGTCGTTTAGAGTTTCGAGCTTGGAGGTTGAGGGCTGAGACGGGCTTGGGTTCATAGGGTTTTCTCGGATTCGGGTTTAAGGTTTTGGTGTCTTGGGTTGGGGTTTGGTATGGGATGGGGGTTTTGCAGTTTGTGGTTTGAGCGTTTAAAGAGTCTGGCTGTGGACGGTTTAGTGGGCGGTAAGATTAGGAGCCCATGGCAATTAAAGCGCATAAGAGGGTTCATGCAACAAGCGCAATATCATGTGGCAGGAGCACGGGGGACCCTGTAGGGCACCTAGCCTTTTGGGGAACTAATGTGGGACATTTTGGAAACTGCCTTTGTACGGATCCTGGTGCGGAGTAAAGTTCCATTTTCCTAAGGCTGTTTCTCGCTACAGAAATCCACCACCCAGATAAGCATGACTGCACGGTCGAGCCATGATTCAACGCTTTTGCAGTGATCTATGCGGCCAACGCAGGTTCCAGTTCCGTCAGGGAAGGAAGGCACACGACAAGACTGCATATGGTTTGGATTCTGCCAGGGCTCCCTAAATAATCCCCTAAAATAATCCCTCGAATAACATCTTTCAATCCTTTTTCACGAACCCACGCAGAATCCCTGCAATAATCTTGTTTTCTCCCGTAGATATTCGCTCCCCCAGTCCCCCTTAAGCACAGGCCGCGTAAGTGTTCCCAGAAGATGTGACATGTCTTAAAGCAGGGGTCTCAGAAGCAACCTGAAAGATCCTTCCGATACCATGCTCAATGTAAGTATCAGAAATTTTTCATCCCTGCTACAGGAACCCCCAAACAGGGATCTTGATTTCTGGGCACCACCATTTTTTAACTCAGGCCCTTGTTTTTTCAAGTCTGTGCAGAACCCACCCTCTCACCACCTTCAAACGTACTCTGAACTTCCAAAGCCCTGGCCCTAGGCGTTTAGCGACCTGCTGCTTAGCAGGGAAGGCAAGATTGGATTTTCATGCTAGTCTTGATAACAATTTTTTACAAATTTTTTCTTGTCCCATAACATTTTCCCCGTCAAGAAAGATTAGGGTTACAGCTTCTGGGCTCGCCCAAAACCTGGATAGTATCACCATACGGAACCAGTGAACCTCTCGGCCTGACGCCTCAACACCAGAATCCAGGCTCTGCTCCAGTGTCAGTGCGACCTTTCACCAGAGGCCGGCCCGACTTCAGGTTTGAGTTTCAGATGTTGCGCTGTCAGGTGTACGGTGTCAGAGTTTAGGGCTTACAGTGGCGGATACGGTTTTAGGTTCAGAGTGCAGGGTTGAAGGTTCAGGCTAGGGTTTGTAGTTAGGGTTCAAGGTCCAGGCTAGGGTTTGCTTCTGGTTTGGTGGCTGTATTGGAACTGCTGTTGGGTGCATTCAGGGGGGACTGGAATGAATGCTGCGTAGCTAGAGTCCAAAGTATTCTTGCAATGCAGATGCTCTGAACATAGGGTTCTGTTTGTCATTTCAATTTGGTACAGTTCTTCACATCTTCGCATGACGTAATCCAGGGTCCGCAGATACTGCAAGGAATTTTGACTGCAGCGCGTATAGGAGACATACTTGGAGGTTCGTAGGACTTAGCCCGTAGGGGTTACTTAGTACCCCAACCATGTGGAGGGTTCTCCTCCACTTATAAGTCGGGACCAAGTTGCGTGAACCTGGGGGCCTGTCTTCCGCCTGTCTGTGCTGGAGGGCGGCGCTGCCGCACCCTGCGGACACCCTGCAGTGCCGGGGCAGTCATTCTTGTAAAGCTTCTCCTGAGACATGCACGGCAAAGTAACAAAGATTTGCAGTGATTGTGAGGGGATGAAATACTGTAGTGTAGTTGTCTGTCCAGTCAGTTTCCTGTAATCTTGATGGGTAATGTTCAACATAGTATTTCTTGAGGCCTAAGTTTGCGAGCCAAAGGCCCCCCATCTCCGCAATTAGGGAACCCTTGTAGGAAGGACTGCGGTATAACAGGGCGACCTCCACTGTTGGAAATACCCCTTTGGGAGTTTGCCAGAAGAATCCTTAAGATCCCTAACCCAACCAGGAAGCACATAATCCCCTCACAATCCCTGTACATCCGTAGGGTCCCTAGGTTACACCCCATTTCAGAGAAATTCCCATGTAACTGACCTCACTCACTTCTTCAGCTTACGCCTCGCAACTGAGAGGCTTGGCTTTCTTGAGCTGGTTAAGGCTAGAAGTTCGACCAAAGGCCAAAATCTCCAAGCAACTGCCAGGCCCGACTTGGTCTATCTCATGTCGGAAGACTGCACCGTGCGGGCTCTGCTGCTTGTCATTGTTGCTGTCATTGCAGCAGGGTGAAGGGCCTAAGGGTGGTTTCAGGGATAAAGGTCCCCAGTTTTGGTCTGCATGTGACTGCTGAGCCGTTTCTGGGTGTTGTGATTCCTTCCCGCGCTATTCTCATCATTCTTCGTATGCATAGCTTGTAGTAGTGGGGAGCAAAGGCCACCATCTTGAGCACAACCACCGTTGTCATCGTCATTACCATCATTGCCGTCTTCATCATTCTCATCGTTGTCATCATCGTTGTTGTCGTCGCCCCCGTGACACGGGAGAGGTGGCAGGGGTTAGCAGTGGTCTGTGGCTGTTTGGCGTTGTCATCTTCTTCCTCCTCCTTCCCCTCCACGGCGCCCGCGCGGCTGGTGCAGGAACCATACAACATCATCTGCGTTACGAAGCACAGCACGCAAACCAGCAGCCAGCTCAGCAACAATTTCTAAACTGGACAACCGTCCTCACCACCAACAGCATCTACCAACCCTGAACTCCAAATCATCAAGCGCAAGACCTACACCCAAACCCTAAACCGTAAACCAATCACCCTAATCCCTTGCCCCTGATCCCTAAGCCTTACTGGTTTCTAGGGTCAATTTCTTGAACTCCTTCAAGGTTTGAAGGGGACACCCATGAAAGTTTCTTGTTGGTTTAGCGTTCGCTGCTTCTGTGCGTGATTCAGCCAACCGTTGTTTCAGATCTACTTTCACCAAGCCTCGAGAGAGGCGCCTGTCTCTAGTCCCTGTATGAAGTTTAAGGGTTCGGGGTTCACAGTCCCAACATGCCTTTTGGGATTTTCGAGTGTACCACTGTTCAGGCCGTTGCATCGCTCCCCCTTTGATTTGCAGACGCCGAAATCGCAGGTTTCCAGCCATCATGAAGCCAATAACGTAAAGTCCGTCTCACCCGGAAGAAGAATTCTCTAGCACATCACAGGAAGACGCCTATATACCCTATTTCAGCACCAAAACCTTCAGTATCCAAAGGCTCTCGAAGCTCCGCAATGAGGGGGCCCAGAAGAAGACCTCGGATGAGGGGTGCGTGGTGCGGCTGCGCCTGGGATGACACAAAGGTTTACTTGGTAGCTGGGTAGGTAAGCTGGAACCTTTGGGGGTGTTATACTTATATTCCTGACTCTCTGTTGGGCGAAACTCAGCAGTTAGGACAAACAGGCTTGATTGAGGAAGCAATCTTCAATCTTTAGGATCCATGTTAGAAAGCTTGCTGTTTCCATTTTATCACAGCCCTATTCGGAAGTTTCACAAGTACAACCGTTGCTATCCTAACCAGGAACTAGTTTGAGGGTGTAGAGTTTAGGGCTTATGTCGAGGGGGAGTTTTGCAGCTGATGGGCTAGTGTGTTTTGTGTAGGGTTCTGGGTTCAGGAGAGTCAAATGCAAAGTCACTGACACTATAGGACGAGCACAAGGATTGTACGTAGGAGCCTACATAATTCATCATTTAAAACTTTTGGGTGTGCTCCATTACAACCATACAAAGAGTGTGCGTGGATACTTATCCCAGATCGCAACCAATCCCCTAACCCTAAAACCCCATACTGGAGGTGCATGGGGCCATGTGAAACTTTGGTCCTCCAAGGGATTCCAAGGGCGAGTTATCATTACCCAATCAATCGTGCTGACAGCTAAGGCCTCCTGGGGCTAGGGAATGAGAAGTTCTTTAAAACATTCATGTAGAATTCGGAAGTCCCCCTATAACCCCATCATGTCACTTTCTTTAGACCCCAAATGAGATTGTGGGAAGATTCTGGTCGTCGATTGCTTTGGGTTAAGGAAACAAGCCAAATCCCCACTATGTGCGTCTTTCTCCGCCAAATCATGCTGCAAGGATACTGCGGAACCTGAAGGACGGAACCCTACATCCTGAACTCCAAGCCCTAGACCCTAAACAGCCTTAATCCTCCAAGGGTGTTCATAGTTTTGCGCGCTACCATCTGAAGCCCGAGAAAGACCTGGTGAACAACTGCGGTCTCATTCCATATGTTTTCTGTCTCCTGGACCTGACGGCCTAGGGGAAGTTATGATTTGGGTTATAATCTTGGCTGGCTTCATGCAAAGTTATCGTCTTACTCCATCTATAGCCCGACATAAAACCGTGTGTTCGCTGCAGAAGCGCGTATGAAATCTCTACTTGTCCCCATGTACCCGGCAGCATCGCGGCTTAGCGAGACAGATGCTAAATCCTGGTGAGAACTTGAACTTAAGCTGCATAGGCCCCTGAACCTGAAAACCTAAACAGCCACTGGAGACTGAAACCGCGAGACATCTAAAGCAGCTAGTGTAATCGTGCATCACTCTGTAGATGCTTTCAGGACGGTACAGCAGTGCAGCTATAGCTGCATGTGTAAGATTTGTCTATGCATGTGTATCTGAACGTGTATATGATGCGCGTTCCGGTCATAGGAGATATATAACGGATGGACAATGGATTCGTGAAAGGGAGTGTCGATTGAAAACCGATAACGCGCTCACCAAAAAACATAAAGTCAGCATACACACCGAAACTTTGAAAACGATAACAGGGACCAGTAGTCCAGGCGACAGATAAAACTGTACATCATAGGTACACGTATATATATATATATACACATGTATGTACGTACGCACGTGCATACGTACGTATGTCTGCATGCATGCATGTCTGTCTGTCTGTCTGTCTGTATGTGTTTTACCTGTATATGTATATGCACTTGTGCACAAGCTTCTGTCTTAGAAGCCCAGCTGCTATTTGCCTTTTTCCCAGCCCCGCAAGCCCCGAAGCGAACACCCAAACAACTAAACCACAAAGCCTCAACCCCACATCTCCCAAGCCCTACAGTCTGAACCTTAAGCCATGTAACATGCAAGCCAAGCCCTAAGTCCTCAAACATTGAATGGCTGAGGTCGCCAGAGGGCCGTGGAGGGCTCCCAATGCTCCTGGAACATGTCAGGTAATTACCTCTAGTGCTGCTACGTATGTTTCCAGCACCACCACTATTTGGGAAAGTGGTCAGGGAGGGGCTTTAAGTCTTGTTCTTGTTCGTGAGCTTTTTGTTTTTGCGTTCGGCCGTTGCAGCAAACTGCAACTTTTGCCTGTAAGGCTCATCTTCTGTGCTGCCGGTACTTCGGCGGCCACCTATGGCGGTGTGGCGGAGCGACGGGGGCCTCACTTGGGAGAATCTACTTGCTAATCTGTATCCAGAGACTAACCCCCCCAATTCCTATTCTGTCTGCTTGACCCCATGCCTAAATCCTGCAAGAGCACCTTACTCGTAGCCTACAGAGTGGAGGAATTGGATGCCTGATTCGACCCTGGATAATCTCGTATTATCCTCCCTTTTACCCTTTCCTTCATCCCCTACTAATCACCCTTAACCATGAATCCCAAACCCTGAATGATGTGGTTTTCCTTTCCATTCCTTCAGTCCGTATTAACCACACATGAGGAAGCCTCACAGCAGGAGCGCGCCAATCGCATGCAGCTCTTCGGTGTGGAGCTTCCTGGGCGTGGTCGACGGGTTGAGGCGGGTTTGTAGAGAACCAAATTAGGTTACGTAGCGTTTTAGGATTCGGTGCCCATTGCTTCCGGACTTCAGGTTTGTGGATGGGTTCAGGGTGACCCTAAACTTTACCTCAGCAGCCGCCGAAACGATAAGCAGCGACTTTGCGTCAAAGCGCTTTCAGGCAACTGCCTAAGAAGCCGCTGTTGGCGGTGCAATGAGTACTCGCTGTTTGTGAGGACTGTCTCTGCGACCTACGATGCGCTTGATAAAGCTGCTCATCAGATAGAACAACAAATGAGACTGAAAGCCTTGGTCACCATCTTTGCTTGTTGTCTTTCCGGTAGCAGTATCAGAAATCATTCCTCATAGTAGGCAGTTTATTTCTTTCCTTCATTCCCAAAGCCCGTTGACGCACCCGGAGCCCTTGACCCTCAACCCCGGACATTCTCCTCCTACGATGCTTCCGCAGCGAGGAACCGGTGATCTCTGACTTTGCAGAGCTTTTCGAGGCCTGCAAATGCTTTCGTGGGTTAAGCCTGGATGCTGGCAGAATGCGGCACCCCCAAAACTAAAAGTAATCTCTTGCCCCGGATAGTAAAGGCCCCCAAACATCGTAGCTTGTTCAGGGGGCCTGCAATGAAATCCTGGAAGAGCACTTTAAAAGGGGAAGACTACATGAAAAGGGCCAAATCGACCCAACGCGACAATCAATAACAGCTTTTTCTGAAGGAACGCGCATAAGACAATTTCCGAAAAAAAAAAAAAATCCACTTCCCGATCTAATTGGTTTTAGTCACTGTTTGAGTTAGCAAGCTAAGTACTTAGAAGTAAGCATGTCCTTTGAAAGGCATAATGCCTTGGAAGTAATGGAGCACTGGGAACTACAGAATTACGAGTCAGTTTATTAGATTTTACTTTTGCAATTGATTCGAACGAAGAAGGATTTCAACGTATGCAAGTAGGAGAACGTGTAGGGGTAGCAGTAGGAGAAGGAGTAGAAGTACGGGTACGGTTAGTAGGAGGAGTTGTTGCAGCAGGGGCAGTAGTCATGGTGTTGGTACTAACAAGGGAGGTTCTCGCCTTTTGAAACCTGCATGTTTGTTGTAATCATCACATTTTGCTAGGGTCCCTTAGGGCGCAGCCCCTCCGAGGTTCTATATTCTAAGTCGCGAGCTGTAAGCTCAACGCTCCTGCGCGAGGGTTTGCATTACGTTTCAGAGTTGAGGATTTGGGCTTAGGGTGCATTTGAGCTTTTCAGCTGTGCCATCCTATCCTGATTCAAAAACTCCCAAAATCCTAGGACTTCAGAGATTGTAGGTGCAGTGTGAGCTAGAACTCTACATTTCTCAATAGTTTACCATTGTACTCATGGCCTTGGCATCAAAATCCCAGACTACACAGCTCCTGCAGCCTGAGCCCATCCTTAAGGTTTAGGCTTTAGCAGCCTCCTGAATCTGATCCCCAAAATGCGCCTCAAACACTCTACACCCTGAATATCAAAGCCTAACCCACAGTCCTTAACTTTTGCGGGTGTGTCACAAGCAGCCCCAGAATCTCCTCAGCACCTGTAAGCCTAAATCCCCAAAGCACTATATCCCTAAGCCTTAGGTCCCGAAACAAGAAACTCCCGAAAACGCTTACACCCTTAGCCTGCAAATGCCAAACCCGTAAAACATGAAGCCGGTAAGACCTAAGTTCCCAACCTCCAAGGCCCTGAAATGGCCCCTCCTGTTTCCCCATTTCAAGGTGTGCTCAATCATTAAAGGCCCATGCCGGGCCCGTGGTTCCAACCCTAGAGAAGCCTAAGCCCCAAATCACTCAACGCACAAACTCCCGCATGGCCAGACAACTTGCAGGCTCTGAAAGCTGATGTGATGTCATGGGCAAGGTGGGGTTTAGGGCTTATGATGTCCAAGCTGAGTTTTGGGGGGGTTTGGGGATGGGAGGTATGTACAGCCTGAGGAAGAGAAAGGGGCTCGTGCGCTAGGCAGCCTCTGTAAAGAAGCCTCGAGTCCTGAAGTTGGACGTGTGTTGGATATGCGCAGGTGCGGGGGCACCCCACATGGCCCACATGCTTCTACAGGACCTGTACCAGAGTTTCCATAAACCGTAGAGGTTGAGACCCTTCCGAAAATCTTGAAATCTTGAGAAAACTCATAGCTTCTCACTGACAGATGGCCGCAGTCATGACTACAAAAGATGAAGCTGGCATCCCCTGAAAATTTGGATACCTTACATCCAGAATCCAGACCGTGTGCGACTGACCTGGCCACATGCACATTCCTCTAGTAGATGCTCTCTTCTTTTTTCGGGCTCCACCAAACTACTGTTGCTTTCTGATATGGTGGTATCCATAAATACGGGGAATCCAATATGGATTCAAAAAGCCTATAATCCCTCCCCTGGCGGCCTACAAAAGAGACCCCAATCCCTGTATACCACTGTGTAATCCTAGTTTTCATGTCATTTTCCATTTTCCTTTCCATTTGATTCTCCATTATTGATGATTCTTGGGGGTTGATAACAGAGAGGCTGTAAGGAAGGCTTCTGCCCGAGGCCAATCACCCAGCCTGCCCTGCCCAACAAATGGGAGTTTCTCAAGATTAACATGCGGAATCCTTGATAGGACCCCCAGAATGTTCTTCTAATCCCTACGGCCGTACAGTATACATCCCCAGGGCTCTCAGGGCCTACTGTGAGAACTCCCCATTTTGATAGTAGATGTCCCTTGCATATGTGTGCAGCTGTGGTAGTATACGCTAACAATGATGAAGGATCTTCGGAGGAAGAGCATGATTTCAACTTGGCTTTGCAAGCTCAAGCATCGTAAGCCATTGATCCCTTAGGCGGCAGAAGCGATTCTTTGTCTGGGGCGACAGCCTTGGCGCGGTATTGGCGTACGAGCTCCCTGGTTTGCGTTGAGGATTTAAGGTGCAGTCAAAAGCTTCAGACAAAAGAGTATGTGCTAGGGCTTAGGGTTGGGGTTAGGAGTCAGATTCGACAGCGCATTCTCAACAGGTAAGGGTACAGGCCTTTCCTCAAGTATTTAGCCGTTGCGGGTTTCGGGTGAACAGTTTCGGCTTTGGCGCTTAGGGTAAAACTAGTCCCTCCAATCAGGTTGACTGTGACTTGCGTGCCCTAAATCCCCCAATAAAAAAACCTAAAGCACTTCAACCTCAACCCTGAGACAAACACGACCCTACAATTGGGGTTATATGGGGGATAATGGAAAAGAAAATGGAAACTACTATAATGGGTTTCGTTGGATGGCATTCTAACAGCTAACCTCTAAGCCCTAAACCTCAGACCGTAAGCACAATCCCCAGCTGATGTGGCGCTACACTCTCCTTCGACTATATGGAACCCCGAAACGGTAGCCCCAAGAGATTGCTGTACTCTACCTACGGGGGTTCCATGTTAGTGTGGGGGAGGCGAGCATTGGGGGATGGTCTGCAGAGTTCTTCTTTTCTTGGACTTAAGGAAGAGTAGGAACCCACGTAAAGGAAAATACGTGATCTGTGACCATAGTGCCGGAGCTTTCGATTCAAGATCCTGCGCAGTGTGATCAGAAGTTCGCTGTGTCCAACAGGCTTTTGCAGGGGCACCTGTGACGTGCAGTGATTGCACTCTACGGTTTGCACCAGCCCCAGCCCTCGCCTCCGCATGTATGATGTATCTCCCCCTTCTTGAATGGAATTCTGTTTGTGTGCCACGTTGGCATGGCCCTCGTTTTGGCCCACTGTGGTTGGTCTCTTCTGGCTACACCCTAAACCCTAGGCAGAGATTTTTTGAAAGACGGCTTTTTGTCTGCAGCTGTGGTACTTACTAAGACTCCGTACAGGATCGATGCCTGGAGTTTGAATGTAAGTATTCATTTTCAGCAGCGTCGTGCTAGGGCTTGCTTTTGGAATGTCATTTGCAGGGGGCTGTTTTTGAGAAACTCCCGAATCGCTGAGGGTCTGACTGAGCTTTGGGGTGCCATGCTTTCTGAACTTCAGATTTGGGCTCTAAGACTCTAAGCTTCACGGGAGTCTTTCAAAGCAATCCCTGCAGAATGCTTGCTAGGGACCCCCAAAATGTCCTCATGATCCGTATATCTTGCTAGGGTCTTCAAGGAAGAAGTCTTCATGCCCGATCCCTCAACCCCAATATCTTTGCCTGAAAACAGGAAACGCTCCGGACCGCTTCAGATCAAGCATGTCTCCCAGTAGCTGAAAGTAACCCTGATATAGGATGATCCGTGCTTTAGGGATCCCCCAAATTGTTGAGGATTATGTGGAAGGTTTAATATTGGAAGGTGTGGTCGGGTATTTGAGTTTTGGAGGAAGGGGTGAATTCCGAAACCCTACCCCCCTAAGCGTTAAATCATAAACCCTAAACCCACATCCCTAAACCTCAACACCTTCCGAAGCCCCCGCCCATCCTTAAACCTTAGCCCTTGAACTCTATGCCGTCCCCTAAACCCCAAACCCCCAAAGCCGAGGCCCTAATGCTTAAACCGTCCTAGGTTTGCTAAGCTCTGGGAGGCAAGGCATTGGGGCCTTCCATCCGCTAATAGGTGCACAATAGACATATATGGGAACCCTCGTGCAGTTTACCCCTTTTGGCCAGGATTAGTGGGTATGGGGTGGGTTCAAGTTTTGGGTTGGAGGGTTTTGGTATTAGGTTTTTGGGGTTCAAGTGGTTTGGGGCTCCGAATCACACGTTACTATTCGTGAAGGGCGATTACCCCAACAGGGGGCCCACACTTTACCAATAGCTTGTCTGCTTTGTAGCCAGAAGTCCCTACAGAAAATGAAGAGAGTCGCATCAGTCTTGCCCAAATTCTGGAACATATTGGGGTAAGGATCGATCTGTCTGTGCTACTGATATACCACGGGGTTTTCGCCTTTCTCAGCCAGGATTCAGCCAACAAAGCAGCAAGGAGAAACCGGCAGCCAGGGATCGGGGCTGACGTTTTAGGGATCACGTTCTGAGAACTATGCAGCATTTGGAACTCGCAGCTAAAAGTTACATATTAAACTCGATCCTGACACTTTCAATCATCGGTACCCCCGGAAGGACCTCCCTCTCCCTCAGCAAGCAGATCACAAAAAGATAAAGGACTTTGACACGCCCTCGGAATCAGGGGGGGCTGCTCTGAACGTCGCGGACGTCCATGGCCTGGAACCCTAAACCGCTAAACCTGATCCTGAAGTGATGAACTCTACGCAAAAAGGGCTTGCACACAGGTTGCAGCCTGCTGATGAGCAGTATGATTGTCTTGGTGGCAGCCCCGCAGCAACATATGGCAATAAGATGGTCTACGTACATGATGAGGACTGCAAGCAACCAAAAAACCCTGCTCTGTGAACCACGAAGAGCTCTGCAGCAAGCCAAGTTGTAAGGCCTTATAACCTAAACTTAAACAGTCTGCCTCAAAGTCTATAATCTCTCAACATACACCCTCAGACCTATAGCCCGAAAGCCCAACCCCAAACCCTGCAACCCTCCACCAGTCCACCACAAACTATGAAGGCGGACCCTGCCACCAACCTCCTCGGACTCTACGCCTCTGGCAATGCCGGGCCGTCCGAGGCCCGTAAACTTCAACGTTTCCGAGAATTGGCCCCAATAAACAACACAGGGTGACTATAGTCCTCCACATGAAGCAAGTTTCTCTTCTCCTTTTCTGCTATAGTCTTCTGCATAAAGACTTACATCTTACTTGGTTCAGCAACCAAGAACACTACTCGAGTATTTTCTCTGTGTTGAACCCTCATAGGCAGCGTATGATTTTCAGGTTTGCCAGTAGTAAGTGACGCTGAATGAGAGTCCATACTATAGAACTTCTTAAGCAGCACCCCCCCCCATATGCACCTGGAACTGTCTAGTTTTTTTTATGCAGAACCGTCCTTGAAGAGGGGCACCTCAGTTATGAGAACATGTCATGTAAGTTGATCCTGCAGACAGATGTCCAGGGTCAAGGGCTTATGCTGTTGACGTAGAAATCTTGCATGACTGTATATACCTAAAGCTTATAACTCATGGTATCACGGTACGTAAAGTATAAGAGGATCCAAGCTCTATATGATGAACAGAGACTTTGTGAAGCTAAACTAATAGCTGCCTAAAGGGAGGTGGAGGAGTGAATCCCTCTCTAATTTTCCCTTTGTAATCCTCATCCTCACAAGGTTTGGGGTCTCTATCAATTCCAGGGCTAACTAAGACATACGTACAAACAACGCCAAAACAGGGAGCACACAGCCATACATTCTCAGCTTTTGCTCCCACAGCCACAAGCCTTGCTTCCTTTGCTGTAAAGCCTTCCCGAAGCCTACACCCCAACCCCCCAAAAGCCTGAGATCTAAGAAGCCTCCACAGCCTGAACGACACCTAAAAGCGAGCCCAGCGCGTTAAATAAAATGGAAACTACTATAGTGGAGAATCAAATGGAAAAGAAAATGGAAAATGAAATGGAAACTGGGAAAATATAGGGATTTAAGCAATTACTATATTGGGGTAATATTGGGGTTATTTAAGGGCTGACGCCG